TCAGCCACTGGCCAGGCTGTCTGGAACTGAGTTAAACATGAAATATTGGTTCCCTGACCTAGGTTAAACAATTCAAGCATAAAGTTTCTGTAAGAGGCACTAACCCATATAAACAAATATGTGTGATAATTATTTCTGGTGTGAAAGAATAACCAAAAGAACTCATTTGCAAAAGGTCATTGCCTGATCCCACCTGGAGGCAACTGCTCATCACTAATGATCAAGCAAGTGGCTATTTAGTCACTTGACCTAGATGCTGTTCAGAAAGCTACTACAAGGTTAATGACCTTAGTACAACTTCAGATTAAGCAATTTTAAGTCTTGCAACAGAAGTCATTCATCATTAAAAGCAATTTTAGAAAGCGCCATTGCAATTCCCACAACCTCTTGGTAATGGAATCTTTCCTTTTACCATTCCTAGGAATGGATTAAAATATTGCATAGGAATGAGAGTGCCCCTAACTGAGACACTTTCCAAAGAGGCAATGATTTCAACAGTATATAATACAGTAGAAGGAAAACACGTGTAAGAACAGAAGTATTTTGGCACTATCTGCTTCTAATGTGTCGCAATACTTTTATTTTACTTTTTAATTTGTTTCCGTTGTACACAGTAATCAAATACTTCTCAAAAGTATTCATTACTTGCTCTCTACTCAAAACCTGGCAAGATACACAACTGTTAGCATCTAGCTTTATTTTAAGATTAAAAACTGTACAGTATTTAGAGTCAGACTTGAGAGTTCAGACATACCTTCTACTTATACTCAGTTTTCCAAAGTAAATGTCTCAAATTCCCCAAATGGACCGAGACACATAAAAAATTTAACAATAACAACCACCTTCACAACCTTATAATTAATTTGAAGCCACTGTTGTGTCACAAGTGACTCAACTTAGTATGTTATGGAAAAACAGACTAGTAAATAACAGACAATTTATGTTGAATTGAATGGAATAGTTATACCATGACTTTGAACAAAAAGTTCTCAGAGTGTTTTTTGTTGCCTGGTTCGCAAGTCTGTTTCACACAGGGCCACAATAAGACATTTGCTGTTCTCTGAGATCTTAATGCCAAAACCCACGGTCACTTTTCTGCTTACTAGGTGTACAGTTTTATATCTGTTGCTGGCTTTAATTTTCTGGCTGGTTCTAATGTGGGTCCAATCTTTACTAAGAGGCAAATCTCACATAGTAAGAAAGTTGCACTAACAGTGAACATGGTGGAATGCGTCACAAGATGAATAAACACCATGCTTACATTTGAGTTCAGTAAGCTGATGCACAGTAAATGTGGAATAATCCAATGTTGCTGGCTTTCTACACTGTTAGACTGACTTACTACAAAGTTAAGACAGCTACAGTGTAGATCAGGGGTCTCCAAACTATGGCCCGCAGGCCTCATCCAGCCCGCCTTGCCATTTTATCCGCCCCATTCCCTTGAGCCCATACATGTTCCTGTTCCTTTGGCCCTCAAAAATGTTGGAAATATCCAGTATGGCCCTCACAGTCAAAAGTTTGGAGACCCCTGGTCTAGATAGTGGTTTCCTTGGGTCTCCATATGTGCGTGGACTAAAACTTTCAAAAGCATTTACCACTAGCTGTCTGGCCTGGATTTCTGGGAATTGTAGTCCAAGAACATCTGGAGATCCAAGGTTGGGAACCACTGTAAGGGCATATTTTAAAATATATGTATATACATATATAATATAAATAATTGTGTGCAATCAAGTCATATACATACACATAGACACAGCATTCAACACTGACCAAAACTTACTTTTCTCCTCATCAGGCACTCTTTCAATATAGCTTGGTTACAGAAAGTAATATCTTAGCAATCCACATATTTAATATGAAATTACACCTAGCAATCTTCTTCACCAAGTGACATTGTACATTCTACCACCAGCAGCAACACCCTTTCAAAAAGCAACTGACATACACAGAAGCCTTTCCTTCCTCTTTTTCATTTTTATTAGGAAATTCAGCTGATTTTAATAAGTTTCAGTTTTCAATAACAATGATCAAAGTAAATGAAATCTTATACATTACCGTGACAAGCTGCAGCTAATTAACAAGGTACCAGTTGTGTCCCTGATCGCTTTCCTAGTCATGTGACTAGCAAATAACCAGGCATGTGGCTGACACCTTGTTACTTAGCTACAGTTTGCAGACATAACCTACAGGATTTCATTTATTCCAAGTAAAATCCAAATGAGATTCTGACCTGTGACTTTCATTACCTTAAATTGGGAAACTTCACAGAGGGTGAACTTTTCATCTCAAGAATACAGGCTTCCCTTTTTTGCTTCCATGAATTTTTGTTCTGTGCTTTTCTAATTCATGCCAGTCCTGCTGGTCTTTTTAAATCAGCCGTCCATCTAGTATGCAGTCTTTCAGTACTCTTTCTTCCAATCCAGTGTTGCCATTGGTGTACACCTTTATTCCATCGCCTATCTGCTTATCTCATAGTGTGGCCTGCCCATCTCAATGATACTAGTATTTGCTCTTTTACATCTATTATTTTTGTAGTTTGTTGAATAACTTCATTTCTTACTTTATCTCTCAGTCTGATATTTGGCATTTGTCTTTCCATCGCTTTTTGAGGTTTTGTGAGCTTTTCCATTACACATTTTCTTAAGAGTCCAGTTCTGTGCAGTACAGGTCAGTACTGGCAACACATATTAGTTATCAACCAATCTGCTTGCTTCATTTTAGAAGATGGCTTTGTTTTGTTTTCAATAATTTAACTTTGTCTACTAAAAGCTGAGCATGAAAGTCTTATTCATCACTCCACTTCTGCTGTCTAATTATATTTACTACAGTATTTGCCCCGACTAAGTAAGGCTAATACATCTGATTGATACTATGCTACAGCCCTAGACTATGCAGGTCTGTACAAGTAACAACTGTCCTTTGAAGAAGAGTATATCTGTGGATCTTCCCAGAAATATTACATGGTTGATCTAAGAACATAATATTGGGCCAAGCTAGGCATACTTAATCCCACCGACATCAGCATATCAGCACCAAGTATGAGCAGACTACACGCATGCTGCACAAATGTTCCCATTCACATAAGTGTAACATAGTTAACTGTGCAGATGATAAATTCCAGAATTCATCAAGGCACATTTAGTAGCAAGTAGCTTTAGAGTTGAAAAACAAATAACAATGAATTTTGGGAACCATTCAAGATCAAAATTTTTATAGTTTTACTGACATCATGACAGCTGCAAAAATTGTGAGAGGGAGCTGGTATGGCTTATTATAAACAAATTATTATTAAGGTACTAAAGTAATTGGCAAGATTTGTGTGAATCTTTCTACAACAATCTGACATAAAATAACTTCTCCCATCTACAATATTTTAAGTCAGCATTTATAACTGACTTTTCTTCTGAGGTGGTGCAACAGTAAAAACTGTTTGCAATGTTTTATCAGGATTTTACATCCAAATAACAGCAAACATTAACTAAATTGCCTGATGTTTTTTTTCTTATGAAAGTTAAATAACTGTCACAAAACAGCAAAAATAAAAATGTCTGACAAACAGAAATTTCACTAAAGTGCCTTACTAGCCTTCCCAACAAAAGATCAAATCTTATTTGTAGT